GTCCGCCGCGGCCAGAGGGGGCCCCGACCTGGACTGCCCAGTGCTGAGCCCTGTCCGCCGCGGCCAGAGGGGGCCCCGACCTGGACTGCCCAGTGGGGAGCCCTGTCCGCCGCGGCCAGAGGAGGCTCGGGGCGAGGGGCATCGAAGCGCCTGCCGCATGGAGCTATGCAATGGTGCTCAGGAAATGCCAGAGAAGTGCTGGGCGCTGATCCAGGAGTTCCACGGCTCCTTTATAACCCGAACTGGGATGCTGTACGAGCTGGGGGAGGGGCCCTTTACTGTCCCAGCAGGTGACAGACTCCGATGGGACGGTCGAGGCAAAGGGACACGTGGCCACCTGACAGTTAACACAGCATCCTGTGGCGAGGCACTACAGCCCCCTCGGAGCGGTTAGCACCCCAAAATCACACAGCTAGGAAGCAGTGGGGCCGCACCTGAGCCGGGAAATCTGATCCCGGAGTCTTACCTGTTCTTCTGGACCGGCCTGGGGGGGGTCCCAGTCAGTCCTTCCCTGGAATTTTTGCTGGCCCCTCTGACTTTCCCGGGCCCAGGCCCCTACAGCCTGTGGGGTGCAGATGCTTGTGCACCCTGGCTCGCTCCGCTCACCCCCTTGGAAGCCACAAGTGAGTCCTCGCATCTGCAGCCACCAGCCCCTGACTCAGCAGAAGTGCTGTGGCCACTGTCAAGTCAGACGGTCATGGCTCCCCAGGCCACTCCTCTGCGGCCCGCCAGAGACACCGAGCAAGCTGAGCAGAGCTTGGCCCTGCCTCGCAGCCTGGTTCCCCTCCCAGGAGTCAGCTGCAGTTAAGCAAAGCCCCTCTGGGCCACCCCCGAAGGAAGCCTTCCTCCAGAGAAACTGTCCCTGGCTAATAGCTGCTTCTTGTCACTGTCACTGTCAGAGGGAGCCAAGGCAGCAGACAGGAGAAACGCCGGCAACCTCAGGCCCTCCCAGCCCTAGAAATGCAGCCTGCGTGGTCCCAACTTCTGCTGCTCACCCACCTTGGCCTTTATTATGGTGCACTGCAGGGAGCTGTTGTGCTGGTCGTACAGAAGGCTGAACTCCAGGGCACCCAGGGTGGCTGCGGGGGCAGAGGCAGAAACCAAAAGGACCTTCGTTCAGTCGTTCAACAAACATTCCTTACATGTGCCCAGTCTGGCAAGGCACCGAGCGAGGCTCAGAGCCGCCCAGACGCGCCATTCCGGCAGCCCCTCCAGCCCCCCGTCCCGGCACAGGTGTGATCAGCATTGTGCGATCATCCGGCTAGCGACTTCAGTGCTGCGGGATGGAGAGCCCAGGGGACAGGGCGTCACTGTCTCCTTGCTCATCGGGCTCCCCCCAGTGCAGGCGCCAGTCCTCCCTTGTTTGCTGAGGGAACAATGGGCTGGGCTCTCCCTCTGGACGCTCACCTGAGCGGCTCATTCTCAGTACCTGTGTCGGCTGGATGTCGCCTCCTCGGAATCTAAAGCCGCCACCCTCTAGGCATTGGCCCTACTAAATTCCTTTCAGGTGCTCTGTCTCCATTGCAAATGAACCACGGCGGCCTCTGTCCGCTCCGCCTGCGGCCGCCCGGGCGGGAACACCCTGCCGCACCTGCCCTGACGCGCCCGGCTCACTCGGTCACCCCAGGGCGCCCCCCTGCGCCCGGCGCAGCCCAGTGGGAGCCAGAGGCACAGCGAGGCCAGTGCCACCGGGAGGGCACAGCGCAGGGACGTCGGCGGTGTTTCGGTCACGGCTAAACCCCACGCGGACAGCGACACTGGGAAGCTGTCGGGCGTGTG